TTTCTATTTCACATTTAACTGTTGTTGTTTGAATTTTGCAATTAATTCAGTAAGTGTTAGGCTTACCTAGTCGCTAAGACTGGGTGCCATCACGACATCCTATGGAGGAAAATTGGGGTCGTGACAAGGTTCGTAAGAATGAGACGACTCAGGTTCAGTATTATTATAAGACTGCCAGCTCAAACCCTGGTCAGAGTTGGGTCCAGCTGCATCCAAGACCATTTGTCGATATGGATTCTCATATACTAATTGAGGTTGAGCGCCACCATGAAAATCACCACTGGAAGACATCTCACCGGTCACATGTTTTTCTCCTTGATACTTCCAAATAAAATAGTTCTCAGCAAATCCATACTAAAAAGGGAATAATTTAACAGTTTCAACATCCACGTATTTAATGTTATGACATTTTTTACATGGACATCTAACATCGTCACCACTCATGTAATTGCGCTGAGAACAAGCAAACTGAAGAAAATTATTCACACCGGTTATAAAACTAGAACTAATACCCCATCGGCCATCCAACATTTTGAACATCCAATCATGATCTAGATTATCCATGTTCCTATTTAATATTGAAATAAATATTATAAAGAGGGAGGGAGGGAGAGAGGTTAGCCAAGGAGTAAACAACCAGCTACGGCAAAGAATCAGATAATGCAATACCATATTGAACACGACTATCATACCATAAACATGAACTCTTGCTCACAAAATAGCAGAGAAGGTTCATTAAGAAAATAGGGAAAAGGTGAGTAACATGATAACACATCTAAGATTTGCTTAAATATTATGAAATATATTAGCATAATGTTCCCCTAATTTTGAAAGTTGTTCCAGTACTGGAAATATTAAAATAAGCAAGTGTAAACGACATGATACCAGCTACTGCAGATTTTCCATATGGTCTTTGAAATGCTCAACAGAATACAAATCTTTGAACTCCCATTTTCTTTCTAAAGACTAAAACACAGCTAAAATCAAGGATGTAAAAATCATAATTTGCAATACTACTTTTACTTTCCCATAAAATCAAGGATATAAAAATCAGTTCTTGTTGGAACATATCATATCAATTTATTATCAAGGTAAATCCCTAATAAAAAAAATACTGAAATTGTTAATCAGCATAGCTAACCATAATTTAATTATAATGTAATGCTAAACTATAGTTAGTGAGTTAGTTAGTAGTTAGTTAAGGAGATTATTTAGTTTGTTATAAATAGTGGCCACTTGTACAATTGTCTTTTATAGTGGCCACTTGTACATCTGTCTTTCTTCTTCATTTAGAAATGTATCGAGCCTTTCTCTGATTCCCTCTCTTCTTCTAGATTCTTCTTCTTCTTAGCTTAGATCTCATTTCCATGGTAGCTAACATGGTATCAGAGCCACCGGTTGAAATCTAAGCAAATTGCGAGTAAATCGAGTCTTCTATGTTACTTCAATTCTACAATTGAGAGCTTAATTGAGCTAGAGTAACATTTGGTTGAAGCTAGGGTTTGTAAGTCTCTTACTTTGAAAGCTGTTTCTCAGTCAACAATGGCGATTGAAGATGAACACGTTGGCGCGACCTTAATTACTGGTAATTTCACTGCTGGAACTGCTACTTTTCCTACCATCGATCAAAATCATCCTTTGTACCTGCAACCAACAGACACACCAGGTAGCTCTCTGATTTCTCTTCAATTTATTGGATTAGAAAATTATGCCTTGTGGAGTCGTGCAATGAGAATTGGCTTGCTAGGTAAAAGTAAACTAGATTTTGTCGATGGGAGATTTCCTAAGTCTAAATTTGAGTCTGAGCTTCATGATCTGTGGGAGAAAGTTAATGCTATAGTTATCTTGTAGATAATGAATGATGTGAGACCAGGATTGTTGAGTAGTATATTGTATGCGTCTAGTGCTCATAGAGTTTGGGAGGATTTGAAAGAGAGATTTGATAAAGTAAATGGCTCGAGAATACTCTATTTGCATAGAGAAGTTCATACACCGACCGAAGGAACTATGACTGTAACTGACTACTTCTCAAGGCTTAGAGAGCTGTGGGATGAGTTTGATGCCCTCATGCCTTGTCCAGGTTGTCCTTGTCCTGAATCCAAATAGTATGCTCAACACTTTGAGTATCAAAGACTTCTTCAATTCTTCACTGGGTTAAATGAGTCCTATTCTCAATCAAGGAGTCAGATTATGATGATGTCTCCCTTGCTAAGTATAAACAAAGCCTACTCTTTGTTAGTAGATCAGGAGAGTCAAAGGAATCTTACAAGCATAACACAAGTTGCTCGGGTCACTGAAGCCTTAGAAAGTATTGCCCTGTATAGCAGTAAGAGTGTGAACAATACTGGAAACTATAGGTCCAAAAGGAGTCAAGTTCAGTGTGAATATTGTCACTATAAGGGACATACAAAAGAAAATTATTACAAATTGATAGGATATCCTACTGAATTCAAAGCCAAAAGAAAAGGAATTAGTACAGGATAATATATCAGTTATGTAGGCAATGCAGAAGTTTCAGGTGCAGAGAGATGCAATATGACTGCCAACATGACTCCTACTGCCAATGGATCATCTAGTTCAGGTACTACACAACAAATGAGTCAACCTGCTCCTTTCTAGCAAATGCCACATCCATCTCCTATCTTTACTCCTGTGCAATACCAGCAAATTGTTTAGCTACTTTCTAGAGGAAGTTCAGAAGAGTTAGATCTATCCAACAAAGTTGCTGCAACATGTATTCTAAACCATATGAATGCTTTTATGTCTCAATGTGTCAATAGTAAATGGATAGTTGACACTGGGGATTCAAATCATATGACTTCAAGTTTAAAGATGTTACACACTCATAGACCATTTCCAAATACAGAAGCAAACAAAGTACATTTTCCTACTGGAAATGTTGTGTCAGTGTCTCACACAGGTTGCACCTTTGTATTAAGTAATCAGGAGATCTCTAATGTTCTGTACATTCCTGACTTTAAGTTCAACTTATTGTCAGTCTCAAAACTCACTAAAGAGCTAAAGTATATGGTGGGATTCTTCCCTGACTTTTGCGTTTTTCAGGACCTCTTCAGTGGTCAGGTGAAGGGGATTGGTAAAGAAGAACATGGACTATACATTCTGCAAGGAGGTATTCCAAAACAAGATCTATATCAGGCAACAAATAAGTGTACTAAAACAATAAACTCTATGTCAGTTTCTTCATGTACTTCTGTTTCTAGTACTTTGTGGCATAGAAGGTTAGGACATGCCCCTTTAGATATAATAAAGATAATAGAAGACCTAAGCAAACTCACAACAGCCGATTCTCATCACTGCATTGTGTGTCTAGTAGCAAAGCAGACCAAGCTGCCTTTTCAGCTAAGCAGTACAACTACCAAATCAGTGTTTGAACTAATTCACTATGATATATGGGGACCCTATAGAGTACCCACACATGATGGTAAGAGATATTTTGTTACCCTAGTTGATGACCACACAAGGTATACTTGAATTTTTCTAATACAGTCTAAGTCAAATGCTATTGTAGTTCTAAGAGACTTTCTTAGTCAAGTAAAAAATGTATTCTCTGCTACTGTTAAGTTTCTAAGAAATGATAATGGAAGTGAATTTTTAGCACTGAATTTAAGTGGCTGATGTCTAATCTTGGTATTTTCCATCAAAGTACATGTGTCTTTACACCCCAACAGAATGGGGTGGCAGAAAGAAAACACAGAACCATCTTGGAAATAGCTAGATCACTCAAATTTCAAGCTGATGTACCTGTGAGATTTTAGGGAGAATGTATTGCTACTGCAGTATATCTGCTCAATTGACTTCCTTCTAAAGTTGTTGGATACATATCACCATTTGAGATGCTATATTTGCACCCTCCTTCATTATCTCATCTCAAAGTCTTTGGATGCTTGTGCTATGCAACTTGTCCTCAAGTGCTGGATAAGTTCTCACCCAGAGCAGTACCTGCTATATTTCTAGGATATTCTTCCACTCATAAGGGTTATTTGTTGTATACTCTGCATTCAAAAATATTTATTGTCAACAGGAATGTTGTCTTTCAAGAGGACATTTATCTCTTTACGCATGCCACATCTACTAAAAGTCCTGTATATCCTATCCTAGACTTTCTCTCTTCTACTCTAAGCAATATTACTCCCTCTTCTTCTGCACCACCAGCAACAGAGGTGTCTATTGACACCAGTTCAAATCAGTTGTATGCAGACTCCTCTAAGAGAGTTCCTCATTCTACAACAAGCTCAGAAGAAGCTATCTCTATGATCCCTTCTGTTGTTGATCACTTGCTTGATGTTACTCAAAATTCACCTGTGCTTTCTCAACAAGATGATGAGCCTCTTGCTGAATATAGAAGGTCTTCTAGACCAAGCAAGCCACCTCTGTTGTTGTAAGACTATGTCACTACCTCCAAAGGATCTAAGTGTACTTACCCTATATCTTTCTATGTGGACTATTCTTCTATTGCTCTATCATATAAGAAGGTCCTTGCAGCTTATTCAGCTCTCTTGGAATCATCTTCTTTCAAAGAAGCTGCAGCTGATCCCAAGTGGATAGTAGCAATGAAGTTGGAGATTGCAGCACTTGAAGATAACCACACTTGGAGTATTTTTGACTTGCCACCTGGGAAGACTCCCATTGGTTGCAGGTGGGTTTATAGAATTAAGTACAAAGTCTCTGGTGAAGTAGAAAGGTTCAAAGCTAGGCTAGTGGCTAAAGGCTACAGCCAGAAGGAAGGATTAGATTATAGAGAAACTTTCTCTCCTATGGCCAAAATTGTGACTGTTAGATCTATTATTGCCTTAGCTGCTTCAAGACAGTGGTTGATCTTTCAAATGGATGTCCACAATGCCTTTCTAAATGGAGATCTCACTGAGGAAGTCTATATGCAATTGCTTGAGGGATTTGCCAGATAGGGAGGGACTAAGAGGAAGGTCTGCAAACTACATAAGTCTCTTTATGGACTTAAGCAGGCACCTAGATAGTGGAATATGAAGTTGACAGAAGCCCTACTCAACATGGGCTTTCAACAAAGTTACTATGATTACTCTTTGTTCACAAAGAAGGCTGGAGATGATATAGTTGTCATATTGGTCTATGTTGATGATCTTCTGATTACTGGGAACAATCAACAATTGTTATGCAGTACTAGATCAGACCTTATGAAGAATTTCAAAATGAAGGATCTAGGAGAGCTCAAATTCTTCTTAGGGTTTGAGTTTGCAAGGTCCAAAAGAAGAATTCTTATGTACCAAAGAAAATATGCCTTAGAGTTAATTTCTGAGTCTGGTTTGAGTGGTGCAAAGCCAGCTGGAACACCACTAGGACTGAATCAGAAGCTAACTTCAGTAGAATATGATAATTACTTCAAGAATGACAACATCCAGACAGATGAGAGTCTTGACAATCCTGGTGCTTACCAAAGACTCATTGGAAGGTTGCTGTATCTCACTATGACAAGACCTGATATTGCATTTGTGGTTCAGGTTCTTAGTCAGTATATGCATTATCCTAAAAGGTTTCACATGGAAGCAGCACTGAGAGTTGTAAGATACATAAAAGAGGCTCCTGGTTTGGGGCTGTTCTTGCCTGCAGAGCCTTCAAATCAACTAAGTGCCTTTTGTGATTCAGATTGGGGGGATGTATACAAACT